AGCAGCAGCAGCATTAGAGGATATTCCTTCCTCTTTGCTGTTGCAGTAGCAGCAGGGATTGTTTCTCATGCTGCAGCAGCAGCAGCACTTGCTACTGCTCTTGCTGCTGCTGCTTATGCTGCTACACTATCAGCAGCAGCAGGAGCAGCAGCAGCAGCAGCAGCAGCAGCAGCAGCAGCAGCAGCAGGAGTTTATGTTGGTGCCTGTAGTCTTGCATCCTCTAGTGCCTTAATTAAAGGATCATCTGGGGTGTATAGGGAGCTCTGCAGCAAATCATCTATTTCGTGCTGCAGTGCAGCAGCAACGTCCTTCTTACAACTGCTGCTGCTGCTGCTGCTGCTGTTGCTGCTGCTGCAACTGCTGCTGCTGCAGCTTGTTGGCCTGTGGGGTGTTGTTGCTCCCCCAGAGGCATCTTTCTGCTGCTGCTGTTGCTGCTGCTGCTGCTGCTGCATGTTCGCAGCAGGCGCCATGTTCTCCCTTGCAGCGGTAGCCAGACGCTGCTGCTGCTGTTGCTGTTGGTGCTGTTGCTGCTGCTGCTGCTGCAGCACGTGGCTAAGAGCTTCAACCTCCTGCTGCACTGCATGCAGCTTCTGCTCGAGCTCTGCCTCCCATGGTACGGGGGCAGGTTCCCGCTGCTGCAGTTGCTGCAGCAGCAGCAACAACAACAACAATAACAACAATAACAGCAGCAGCAGCAGCAGCAAAAATAAGAGCAGCAACAGCAGCAGCAGCAAATACAGGTGGATACACAGCGCATTGTTTATTTGTTCGTAAACCCCGCTGCTGCTGCTGTTGCTGCTGCAGCGAATTTTTTTAACCCTTTTAAATATATTTAAACCCTAAACCCTAAACCCTAAACCCTAGTTAGTGTTTATCTGTCTATATAAGAGAGAGATGTGATTATTTTTTCTCTTAATGTGGGACCCTTATTAGGGTTTAGGGTTTAGGGTTTAGGGTTTACCTCTCTTGCTGCATGCAGCTGCTGCAGCAGCAAAGAACAACTTCTTAAGAAATGATTCCTTGATGCCGTCATTGCATCAAGCTTTTGTGCCAAGTCTTGAGCCTGCGGTGTACGTACACCCCAAACCCTAAACCCTAAACCCTAATAAACCCTTATAAACCCTTATAAACCCTAATAAACCGTAACACGCAAGTTCTTCGTACATGCAAATAGTAACCAGTCGTCATTAGGGTTTAGGGTTTAGAGGGTTTAGGGGTTTACGCTATAGACCTCTGCTTTAAGGGTCCATTAGGGTTTAGAGTGTGATTATTAGGGTTTAGGGTTTGATTAGGGTTTAGGGTTTAGGGTTTAGGGTTTGACCTGAAAGGTTTTAAGTTGGAGCTCTGCCTTAAGTTGAGCGATTGGTGATTCGCATAGTTCTCTCCTGCATCTTGCTGCTTCTGCTTCTGCTGCTGCAGCACGAGCAGCAGCAGCAGCAGCAACAGCAGAAGCTTGCTGCAGTTGTTGCTGCAGCAGCCTGAGCAAACAAAACAAGCAACAGCAGCAGCAGCAGCAGCAAGGGTTTAACAAGGGTTTAGGATGCTATACTCACAATGCATGAGGGTTTAGGAGCAACGGAGGGTTTAGGGTTTAGGGTTTAGGGTTTACTGCTGCTGGCGTCCTTCTATCCGCAGCGCTTGCTGCGCTGCTTCTTTTGTTTGTTGGCAATCAGCAGCAAGGCGCATCTCTGCGTCTGCTGCAGCAGCAGCAAGCATCTGCTGCTCCTGCTGCAGTCGATACTCCCGTTGCTGCAACTGCAGCAGCAGCAGCAGCAACAGCAGCAAGAACAACAGCAGCAGCTGATGCAGCAATTTCCCCAGTACATGCCATTATAAGACACTCAGGAAAAAGGGTTTAGGGTTTAGGGTTTGCATGCATGTGCTGTACCTCAACAGCCTTCTGCTGCAGCTGCTCCGTCGTGACGCGCAGCTGCTGCTGCAGTTGCTGCAGCTGCTGCTTGCGTTGCTGCAGCTCCTGCAGTGTACATACACTCCACAAGGTTGCAGGCATTGTAATGCTGCAGCAGCAGCAGCAGCAGCAACTGCTGCTATGGGAGCAGCAAAGGGACGAGCAACAACAGCAGCAATAGTAGTAGCAGCAGCAACAACAACAGCAGCAGCAGCAGCAGCAGCTTACCTGAGCTCTTTGCTGCTCTCCTCGTGCGAATTCCTCTTCTAGTTGCTGACGCATTGCCGTCTCCGCCCTCTGTCAACACAAACCCTAAACCCTAAACCCTAAACCCTTAAAATTTATTATTATTGGGCAGCACTTCTGCATCTTCTCTCTTAAGAAAAAAAAAGGGTTTAGGGTTTAGGGTTTAGGGTTTGAGCTAACCCGCAGTTGTCGCTCGGACTCAAGTTGGTGTTTTACTTTCCATAACTCCATCTGTTCCTCATCATCTGCAGCAAACCCTAAACCCTAAACCCTAAACCCTAAACCCTAAACCCTAAACCCTTGGTCCTGCTGAAAGAAGCTCGGTGCGCGAACGAAATAAGGGTCTAGGGTTTACAAGTCATTAAGGTTTAAAGGGTCTACAAACCCTTAGGGTTTAGGAGCTACTAAGGGCCTAGGGTTTAGGGTTTAGGGTTTAGGGTTTGCAAGACTCCGTACCGGGTCCTCCTGACGACGCCCACGTATTTGTTGCTGGAGCTGGGACTGCTGCTGCTGCTGCTGCTGTTGCTGCTGCTGCTGTTGGTGCTGCTGCTGCACTTTCTTGAGACTGTGCTGCACTGGGATGCAAAGCTGCTGCTGCTGCCGTTCCTGCTGCTGCTCCTGTTGCTGCTGTTGCTGCTGCTGCTGCTGCTGACGGGGAGTGCAGATGCTCTAAGTACAACTGCAGGTGGACCTCACCTGTATACACGTACAACCCCAAACCCTAAACCCTAAACCCTAAACCCTAAACCCTAGATCCTAAACCCTTAACCCTAAACGGAGCGCACTAACCTTCAATCAATGGAAGCTTGTGCTGCTGTTGCTGCTGCTGCTGCTGCTGCTGCTGCTGGAGAGGCAGCAGCAATCCAAGCGTTTGGTAGCTGTGGGGCGCAGCAGCATCCGTCAGCAGCGGCTGCTGCAGCAGCGGCGAGAGATCAACACGGGCCTCCCCTAGGCAGCAATCTGTTGCTGCTGGCACATCGCTGCTGCTGCTGCTGCTGCTGCTGCAGTTGCTGCTGCTGCTGCACACCTTCAGCAACAAAGGTGCTGCAGCAAGCGACTGCTGCAGCTGCTCAGCTGTGGCTCTCATGGTGTATTCGCACAAACCGTCTGGCAGCTCCACCTGCAGCAGCAGCAGCAGCAATAGCAGCAGCAGCAACAGATAGAAGGAGAAGCAATTGAGTTAGCAGCAGCAGCAACAGCAGCAGCAGCAGCAGCACCTTACCGCGCCTCCACCGTTGCAGTTAACAGGAGGGGAAGAAGAGAAAAGATGTTTGCTGCCAAAGGGAGAATAGTTGTAGTGTACGTACACCTGCTGCAGCAGCTGCTGCAGCAAACTATTTGCTGCTGCTGTTGTTGCTGTTCCTGCTGCAGGACGCAGCTGGACAGAGACGCAGTCAATGTACAAACGCCAGTATTGCTGCTGCTGCTGCTGCTGCTGCTGCTGTTGATGATGGGGGGCAGCAGTTAGGGGGACTTCTGCTGCTGCAGTTGCCTCCTTCTGGTGCTGCTGCAGCGGCAGCACCGCCAGTTGCTGCTGCAGCACATCCGCCTGCAGCTGGTTATTGCTGCTGCTGATGCTACTGCTGCTGCTGTTGCTGCTGCTGCTGCGTCCATGCATGAGGTTCTGGGCTGTCTCTACGTCCACAGAAACAGCACATCCCTCTCCTCCGCTTCCTTAACACGCAAACAGCAGCAGCAGCAGCAACAGCAGCAACGGCAGCAGCAGCAACAGCAGCAACGGCAGCAGCAGCAACAGCAGCAACGGCAGCAGCAGCAACAGCAGCAGCAGCAGCAGCAGCAAGGGGACATACCTGTAAGAGGAGTTGCTGCCTCTATACACTCCAACTGCGCCACCAGAGACTCCCGTTGCTGCCCTTGCTGCCCATACACCGCAGCAGATATTACCTGCTGCCTTCCTTGCTGCTGCTGCTGCTGCTGCTGCTGCTGCTGCTCTGCCTGGATTTGCTGCTGCACTGCAGCAATCAGCGGGGACAAATCCACTGGTAGACCCACCCCCTGCCTCTGTTGCTGCTGCTGCTGCTGTTGCTGCTGTTGCTGCTGTGATGGTTCAGCAAGCAGCAACGGCTTCATTAGCTGCAGCTGCAGCAGCACCTCCTGCAGGTCTTGGGCAAAGAGGAGGGCAAACCTGCTGCTGCTGCTGCTGCTGCTGTTGCTGCTGCTGCTGCTGCGGCAGATCCGAGCAGCAGACCCCACGCATACAACAAGCGGCTGATCACCTGCAAAAAAAAGCATACGCCAACACAAACCCTAAACCCTAAACCCTAAACCCTTGATTCCAAACCCTAAACCCTAAACCCTAGACTCCAAACCCTAAACCCTAAACCCTAAACCCTACGAGCCTTACTTCCTTCCCGTTGACCCTGACGCTGAAATGACAGAAAAAAACACTTCTGTGAGGGACTGCTCCGCTGCTGCTGCTGCTGCTGCTGCTGCTGTTGCTGCTGCTGCTGCTGCTGCTGTTGCTGCTGCTGCAGATGCTGCCTTAAGGTCAAGTGTATAGACAGCCGAGGGCCACCATCAGCAGGGTTTAGATCTGCTGCATAGGAGACGCTGCTTGCTGCTGCTGCTGCTGTTAGTGCACCAGAGAGAACCTGCTGCTGCTGCTGCTGCAGCTGCTGCAACTGCTGCAGTTGCTGCAGTTGCTGCTCATCACTCTCTATAACTTCGCGAACAGCGAAGGCCACGTAGCGATCCTCCTGCTGCTGCTGCTGCTGTTGCTGCTGCTGCTGCTGCTGTTGCTGCTGCTGCTGTATGACGAGGAACATGTCCACCTTCTCCCTAAGGAAATCGGTGACCTCGTCCAGCTGTCCATACACTGCAGCTCTGTACACATTCTCCTGCTGCTGCTGCTGCTGTTGCTGCTGCTGCTGCTGCAGCAGCTGGTACAGGCGGCAGACAAAGGGAGCCTCATCTCCGAGGTCAGCAGCTGCTGCAGCGCCACACACATCTGCTATGCAAATCTTGCTGCTGCTGCTGCTGCTGCTGCTATTGCTGCTGCTGCTGCCGGCAGCATCTTGAACAAGAGAAAAGCGGAATTCTATTTCAACGTAGGGAAGAGCCATCGGAAACCGCCATAAACCCTAAACCCTAAACCCTAAACCCTAAACCCTAGAGCCTTGACTCAAGGGATAGACCCCAATAGAGGAGCCACCATGCTTGTCTTTAAAAGCTGCAACCCTAAACCCTAATTATAAACCCGACAACGGCAAACCCTAAACACTAAACCCTAAACCCTAATCACGCAGCAAGGCGGTGTTGTAGAGACAGTAGCAGGGTCAGTAAACCCTAAACCCTCAGGCGCGCACACACCTGATCCCTGCAGCAATGCGACAAGACATAAGCAACAAAAATTGAATAAATAACTCAAAACCCTAAACCCTAAACCCTAAACCCTCAGACATATTGGCATCCCGCTGCAGTCTTCGTCTCGGCGGCGGTGGGGACGGTTCGAGCGGCTGGGGGCCCCTGCGTCTCCACCCCGTAAACCCTAAACCCTAAACCCTAAACTGTAAACCCTAAACCCTAAACCCTAAATTCGAATTCCTTAAACATATTTCAATAGTCTTCGTGTCCTCCTGTTTTGCTGCCTGCACTTTGGATCCAGCGGTCCTCCACGAGGGTTTAGGGTTTGGCTAGGGTTTGGCTAGGGTTTGTAACGTGGAGCTTAATGGTAAGCTATTAGGGTTTAGGGTTTAGGGTTTAGAGCTATATATACCCTAACAATTGAATGTGGCAGACATGCGCTGGAGCTGCAGATGGATGGCCCGAAGCGGCCCCCGAGTCGGCTGCTGCTGCTGCTGTTGCTGCTGCTGCAGCAGAGGCATATAGGGTCTGCAGCAGCAACTGATGCTGCTGCAGCAGGAGTAGCTGCACCTCCTCTGCTGCAGTGCAGCAGCTGCTCCTCTCCCTCCCCCGTACAGAACAGACCCGTGGGAGCGGCAGCAACACAATTAAATGCAGCAGCAAATGCAGCAGCAACTGCTGCAAGAAGTGCAGCAGCAGCAGCAGAAATAGCAGCAGCAGGTGTGCGTACACCATCTGCATTTCTGCTCGCAAAGGTCCCCCGTAGCAGCAGCAACAGCAGCAGCAGCAACACCGTACGCAATCGTACCAGCAACACCGCCAGCAGCCGCAAAAGCAACAAAAACAGCAGCAAAAGCAGCAGCAGCAACAGCAGCAGCAGCAGCAGCAACAGCAGCAGCAGCAGCGACTTAATAAGGGTGTCCAAGAAGGTTAAGGAATTTGACAAACTGTTGGAGCCTTTTGAACAGGCAGCACTAAAGGCAGCAACGCGAGGCAGCAGAAGCAGCAGCAGCAGCAGCAGCAGCGACAGCAACAGGAGCAGCAGCAGCAGCGACACCAGCAGCAGCAGCAGCAGCAGCGGGTGCTGCGTCACTGTAGAGGGGGAGGAAGTGCTGAGGGGAATAGCCGATCCTGAGGGTTTGCAAACATTCGCCGCAGGACTACTCAGCTCCCTAGGGTAAACCCTAAACCCTAAACCCTAAGCCTTAAACCCTAAACCCCAAACCCTAGGCCTTAAACCCTAAACCCTAGACTTAGAAATGGAAAGGTCAGTTGATGCTGGATCGAAGGCCACTCTTTTTATGTGTATTTGTCTTATGCTGCTGCTGCTGCTGCTGCTGCTGCTGCTGCTGCTGCTGCTGTTGCTGTTTAGACTGAAGAGGAGCCACGTAAGTGTGCACTGCGTGGGGGAGAAGCAGATGCAAGAAATCCGTAGCGACTATGACCCAAGCAGCAGCAGCAGCAGCAGCAGCAGCAGCAGCAGCAGCAACAGCAGCAACAGCAGCTGCAGCAGCAGCAAGCCTGCCTTAGGGCCAACAGACATCTTATCGTTTGCTGCTGTGGAGCCGCAGCGCTTCGTGCAGCGGCGGGAGTTGCTGCTAAAAGCTGCAGCAGCAGCAGCTGCTGCTGCTGCAACAAAAGCAGCTGCTGCTGCACCTGCAAAAAACATTAACACAGCAGCAGCAGCAGCAGCAGCAGAATCGCAGCAGCAGCTGCTGCTAGATCTTAAGGATATCCGCAGGCGGCGGCGGCGGACGTTCTTAGGCGATGTTTTCCTCTGCCCCTGTAAACCCTAAACCCTAAACCCTAAACCCTAAACCCTAGAGTCTTAGTACGAACGAAGCCTGGTAGCGGACGGTTCCCGTTCGTTGCTGCTTATCATTTGTTGCTGCTGCTGCCATTTGCTGCTGCTGCTGCTGCTGTGCTGCAGCTGTGGTGTATAGACAGCAGCAAGATGATAGGAAAAAGCTTGAAGCTGCAGCAATGCAAGACGCAGACCCTGAGCCTCTACCTCAAAAGTCCGTCTTCCGCTGCTGCTGCTGCTGCTGCTGCTGCTTCTATTGCTGCTGCTGCTGCTGCTGCTGCTGGCGTTGATCCTGTGGGGAATCCACCGGAGCTGCTGCTGTTGCTGCTGCTGTGTGTGCTGCTGCAGAGGAGTGCTGCGGCGTCTGCTGCAGTCGTGGTCTACAGAGGAGAGGCTGCAGCTGCTGCTGGTGCATTCTGTGCTGCATCTTATCGGGTAAACCCTTAAAATATGAGGGTTTAGGGTTTGAGGGTGAGGGTTTAGGGTTTGAAGCTGAGGGTTTAGGGTTTGAGGATGAGGGTTTAGGGTTTAGGGTTTAGTGTTTGTATTTTTTGCAGGTTTACGCACGACACTCCGCAGCAAACAGAACAAATGCGCGAAGTTGAAGAATTTTTGTGCTGCCTAAACCCTCCAAGACAGTTCAAGTACTAAACCCTAAACCCTAAACCCTAAACCCTAAAGTGTAAACCCTAAACCCTCGGACGGCTGAGCGTGCCCTGTAACGGGAAGCCATAGACCCCACACCCGATAGATAGAAACCCCTAAACCCTTGTTCTTGGCCAAGTGCTTCTTGGACGCTAGGGTTTAGGGTTTAGGGATTAGGGTTTAGGGTTTTCTGTGCAGGTTGCATGTGGCTGGCGTGGGGCTTGACATCGTCTCTATAGAGCGGCTGCGAACAACCCTCGGCCGTTTGCATGCAGCGGATACAGCAGCAGCAGCAGCAGCAGCATCAGCATCAGGTGCAGCAGCAGCAGCAAGAGGAAAGGGTCTCTCTACTGCAGCAGCAACAAGGTGTGCATGCAGCTGTATGTGCAGATACACCTCACGTCTGCTGTCGCCTCTTGAGGCAGCAGAGATGCGACGGGCATATCCAACCCTATTTAAGCTGCATTGGACCTTAAGACAGCAGCAGCAGCAGCAGCAGCAGCAGGGCAGCAGCAGCAGCAGGAGCAGCACAACAACAACAGCAGCAGCAGCAGCAGCAGCAGCAGCAACAGCAGCAGCTACTCCTGAACAAGAAGCAGCAACACTAAGAAGAGCAGCACGATTTTTAAGTCGGAGATTTGCTGCTAAAGAAGCAGCAGTTAAGGCTCTTGGTCTTGGATTAAGTATTCTTAGTCCAAGTATACAAACCCTAAACCCTAAACCCTAAACCCTAAACCCTAAATACTAAACTCTAAACACTCGGGTGGTGTATACACATAAGGACACTAGTGATAGTACATGCAGGCACTACTGTAGTTACAGATGTTACACATGCGTGTGCTGCTGCTGCTGTTGCTGCTGCTGCTGCTGCTGCTGCTCAGGCGGTTTATCTCTAAGTGATGTTGAGGTGCAGCACGGGCAGGCAGGGAATCCGCTGCTGCTGCTGCGAGGTGCAGCAGAAGCAGCAAGACAGCAGCAGAAGCTGCGGGCACTTTTACTGTCTCCTTCTGATGATGCAGGGGTTGCTGTTGCGCAGGTAGTTGCCTGCTGCTAAACCCTAAACCCCAAACCCTAAACCCTAAACCCTAAACCCTAAACCCTAAAATATATTGAGAGGTTGCACAATTTTTGAGGCGTTAACTTCAACGCCTGTTAGCAAATACACGCAGCGCCACCCTGACTTGCTGCAGCAGCTGCTGCTGCTGCTGCAGCTGCTGCTGCTGTAGAAGTGACGTAGCAGCAGCAAGTGCAGCAGCAGAAACTGCAGCTGCTGCTGTGCATGCAACGTCAGCCACTAGGCCACTTCGGACGCATCCTGTTTTAACGGAATTCTGCGTCTGCTGCTGCTGCTGCTGTTTCTGCTGCTGCTTCTGTTCATCTTGCTGCTGCTGCTGCTGCTGCTGCTGCTGCTGCTGCTGCTGCTGCAGTAACACATAGATTGTCTCCCAAACAGAAGCTATGCTGCATCGGCTGCTGTTGCTGCTGCTGTCTCAGTCATATCGTCGTCGTCACCTGCTGCTGCTGCTGCTGCTGCTGCTGCTGCTTGTATCTTGCGGGGGGAGTTGGGCACTTCTGACGCTGCTTCTGCTGCTGCTGCTGCTGCTGCTCCTTCCGTTGCTTCCTCTTTCTTTGCTGCTTCTGTTGCTTCTACCTCCTCCTCTGCTTCTGCTGGTGCTGCTGCTGCTTCTGTCAGTGTTGTTGCTTCTGCTGGTTCTGCTGCTGGTGCTTCTGCTGGTTCTGCTGCTTGTGCTGGTGCTGCTGCTGTTTCTGGTTCCGCTGCTGCAACTGCTGCTGGTGCTGCTTCTGCTGGTGCTGCTGCTTCTGGTTCTGCTGCTGCTGGTGCTGCTGCTACCTCGGTTGCCTGGGGTGTAGCTGCATCTGCTGCTGCTGAGACAGCAGTTACACCAGATGACTCATCAGCGGACGGTTTGCTGCTGCTGCTGCTGTTGTCATTGCTGCTGCTGTCGTTACTGCTGCTGCTGTTGCTGCTGATGCTGAGGTTGTTGTTACTGCTTTTGTTGCTGCTGCTTGTGATGCTGTTGCTGCTATTGCTGTTGCTGCTGATGATGTTGTTGCTGCTGCTGTTGTTGCTGCTGGTGTTGCTGCCTGTGCTGCTGCTGCTGCTGCTGCCGATGGCTTCCTCAAGAACTTTCTTGAAGGTGTTAACAGAAGGAGAGATGCCCTGTAAATGCAGCAAAACAAACAGCAGCAGCAGCAGCAGCAGCAGCAACAGCAGCAGCAGCAGCAGAACACAAGAAGACGTTTAAGCAACGACCTCCTTTCTGCTATCGGGCTCTCCTGCCTACACTTGTCGGAGAAGGGTTTAGGGTTTAGGGTTTAGGGTTTAGCGGACCTTTAGCGTCTGCCCCTTAAATAGAGCAAAGCAATGCCCATATTGAGAAACAGCCTCCCTTAGAGGTGCATGCACTCCAGCTGCATATACACCCCACCAAACCCTAAACCCTAAACCCTAAACCCTAAAAAACCCTAAACCCTCAAAACACTAAACCCTTGATGAATCATCTGACGATATACTGCGGGGAAGACGGGCGGGTGGCAACGTGTTAAGGGTTGAGGACTTAGATACACACTAGCTAGGGTTTAGGGTTTGGGGTTTATTACCGTCTTGAGGCATTTCTGCGGTGTCTAGACAGATAGGGGTTAGCTGATCTAATGCCCAATTTGCTGCTTCTCCTTCCTCTAAGAAAATAGATAATTCCTCTAATAAATTAAGAGGTGCAGATACACCGCAACTGCTGCTGCTGCTGCTGCTGCTGCTGCTGCTAGGGGTTGCAGGAGCCACAAGACAGAGAACATATGCATCCATTCCCTCGCAACTCTCAAGACGAAGAGAAAGCTCAGGCCAAGTCGACTGCACCGCAAACCCTAAACCCTAAACCCTAATGGTTAAACCCTAAACCCTAAAGCAGGCCAACAATCCTGGTAGACACCGTGTGCATGCAGCAGAGGCCTACGCTTCCATCCCTCCGTTACCCGAGCACATAAAAAATTTTTAGGGTTTAGGGTTTAGGAATTAGGGTTTAGGGTTTAGGAATTAGGGTTTAGGGTTTAGGGTTTACCTGCTGCAGCCTCTTGTCACAAGCAACAACTACAGGCTCTGCTCGCTGCGGCATTCGTCCTCGTCGTAGCAAATCAAAGATGTGCTCAGAGTGGCTCTGGTCTACTGCAGCTTTCTGCTCACAAACCCTAAACCCTAAACCCTAAACCCTAAATCTCTCTTTGGCGACAGGCAGACAGCCAAGAGCAATTGATGATTATAAACCCTAAACCCTCATGAGAAACCAAAACCCCAAACCCTCGTTCAACAGGAGGAACCGCTTCGCTATAAACCTACTGGCGTGGTTTAGAATTAGGGTTTAGGGTTTAGGGTTTAGGGTTTAGCTAGACCCACCTTAGCCTTGAACTCAGGATCTCTGCAGTGAGTAGCAATCGCCTGAAGAAACACCATCGGCGTCAGCTCCACTTGCTGCTGCTGCTGCTTCTGCTGCTTCTGCTGCTGCTGCTTCTGCATGCGCTCGTGGTACAGCAGCAGCTGCTCCTCCAGCAGCACGGATCGTTCTGCTTCTGTGTTGCTCTCCTGCAGCTGCGCTGTCACTGCAGCAGTTGCACCCTCCGGAGATAGTTCTGCAGCCGCAAACCCTAAACCCTAAACCCTAAACCCTAAACTCTAAACCCTAAACCCTAGATCCTAAATCACAAACCCTAAACCCTAGGAGCCACGAACATACAAATAAATACCAGCAGATTTAATTAGCAAGAGACAGAGAAGACCCAAAGGGATCGGGTTTTGGCTATGAAAGGGCAAGGGTTTAGGGTTTAGGGTTTAGGGTTTAGGGTTTACCTCTTTCTGTGGTTGCCTGCAATATTTGCCTAAATTTTTCTTCTTTTCTTCGTTGAATTTTATGCAATATCTGCAAAACCCTTTCTTGTGTTAATTCCTCAGGTACCTCCAGTCCTGTATCCGCAAACCCTAAACCCTAAACCCTAAACCCTAAACCCTGATCATGTAGCCATCGCACGTGGACCACAAAGCAAAACTCACAAATAGGTGGCTGTTAGGGTTTAGGGTTTGGCTATAAGGACAGCACCGCCACAAGTATTCATGATTAGGGTTTAGGGTTTAGGGTTTACCGGGGAGGAGAGGGAGGGTTCCTTGCATTGCGTCTTCATACATCTGTCGCATGCCGGTGACCAGCTTCTTGACCTCCGGGTTCTGTTAACCACAAACCCTAAACCCTAAACCCTAAACCCTAGAAGCAGTGTCCCCTAGAGGGTTTAGAGGAGTGGATGAGGATTAGCTGTCTTTCGAGGGTTTAGGGTTTATGTTTCTGTGTATGGTTTCTTTACTTAAGGGTTTATATGGTCCTTCACCATATAAACGCCAATTAAGGGTTTAGGGTTTAGGGTTTAGGGTTTAGGGTTTACGGTTTCTGCAAGATGGGTACAACGGGAATTGAACTCAGAAGGAGAAATATCTACAGTCGCCAACACTGCTGCTTCTGCTGCCTCTAATCGGGCTAGCAGCATTCGTTGTAGACTGACGGCCTCCATCTGCAACAAAAAAAAAGGGTTTAGGGTTTAGGGTTTAGGGTTTAGGGTTTGCGGGCGGAGGGGGGAGTCACATCGGTGCTGCTATATGGATAGAAACAACAAACCCTCAAAACAACGCATACACTAACGACTAGCTTACACGATTAGGGTTTAGGGTTTAGGCTTTTAGGGTTTAGGGTTTAGGGTTTAGGGTTTACCGTCTCCCGTATAGACCGCGAGCTTGGGCTTCCTCGTCCCTTTCCTTTGGCGTCGAGGCTTGACAATAAATTAGACGTCATTCTGCACATAAACCCTAAACCCTAAACCCTAAACCCTAGACCCTAGACCCTAGATAGTTGCTGTGGGTTAGGGTTTAGGGTTTACCTCTAAAAAAAAGTAACTGGTGTTGAGGGTTTAGGGTTTAGGGTTTAGGGTTTAGGGTTTACTGTGCTGCCTCGGCGAAGACTCTATGGAACTCTTTAGTAATTTTTTTTAATAGAGCAATAATTTCCTCATCTGTACAAATCGTGCTGCTGCTGCTGCTGCTGCTGCTGCGCGTTAAATAGAATGCTGCTGCAGCACCAGCAACAGCAACTAAACCCCAAAATAGCCGCTGCTTCCCATCCTCAACAGCAGGCTGAGAAAACGTTGCCCCCATTGCTGCTGCTGCTGCTTTTGCTGCTGCTGCTGCTTTTGCTGCTGCTGCTAATTCTGCTGCTTTTGCTGCTGCGGCGGCTGCTTCTGCTGCGGCGGCTTCTGCTGTGGATGCTGCGGCTGATATTGCTGCGGCTCCTGCTGCGGCTGCTTCTGCTGCGGCTGCTTCTGCTGCGGCTGTTTCTGCCGATGCTGCTGCTGCGGCTGCTTCTGCTGCGGCTTCTTTTGCTGCTGCTGCTGCTGCTGCTTCTGGGGCGTCGTTGTTGCTGTGGCGGATGTTGCTAATCCTGCGGTGCTTATTACTACTCAATATGCTGTCGCTGCCGTTGCTCCTGCTGCTGCTGCTGCAGATGCTGTTCCTGCTCAGGCTGCTGCTGCTGCTGCTGCTGTTTAGCTGCAGCAGACCCAGAAGGAGCGCGTTGAGCTGCTGCTTATTTTAAGCAGCGAAGGAAGTCAGGTTGCCTCAGTTGTTTCTGATGGCTGCTGCGGCAGCGGCTTCTGCTGCTGGTGCTGCTGCTGCGGCTGGTCTTGCTGCTGCTGCTGCTGCAGGTGTGTGTACTGGGCCCCCCACTTAGGCCCCAGTATAAATGTGGAGACGCGCCTTCTAAACTGGCGGCGAAGAAGGCTGGAAGCTTCACTCTCGCCGCTTCTGCAGGTGCTGCTGCTGTTGTTGTTGCTGCTGCTGCAGTTGCTGCTGCTGCGGCTGTTGCTGTTGCATGCGCAGCAGCATCCGCTGCCGATCAGCCCCCAGACCTGCAGCAGCAGCAATTCTTTTTCTTTAGACAAAATAAGAAAAGAAAAAATTAAATATTAAATTTAATTATAAATGGCTCAAGGGAAGTGAATGCCACGTCTAGTGTTTAGGGTTTAGGGTTTAGGGTTTAGGGTTTAGGGTTTACAGAATGAAATTGACGCCACGAGAGGCCTTTACGCTACTTTTCTTTATGGCAACCCCAGCCCTAATGTACTATTGTGAGCTAAACCCTAAACCCTAAACTATTAACTCTAAGTTCTAAACCCTAAACCCTAACCCCCTGAGCGATAGGCCCCCGGCTGCTGCTGTGCGCACTAGACGGCCTAAACCCTAAACCCTAAACCCTAGACCCTTGCTGTTGCTGCGCTGTGCTGCAGCTGTTGTTACTCAGGAGAGGAATGAATATGCCAGGCGCTTTGCGGGGGTTATAAGGGACTTGGAAACGCACGTGGAGAAGCAGCAGCAGCAGGAGCGACAGCGGCAACAGCAGCAGCAACAGCAGCAGCAACAGCAGTTGACACACCAGCAGGAGCCCTCTAGGACGCAGCAAGTCTAATGGCTTCCCGTTGGCCCCTCTGGGCGAGCACTCGACTGAGGTAGCAGCAACAGCAGCAGCAGCAGCACGAGCAACATTGAATACAGTGGAGCAGCAGCAACAACAGCAGCAGATACAGCAGCAGCAAAGACAGAAGCAGCGGCAGCAACAGTACTACAGGCCGAAGATGCAGCAAAGGCCGGTCTGCAGCATATTGAGCTGTGCAGCTCCTCTTTTCCGTCAGCGCGTAGCAGCAGCAGCTGTTGCTGCTGCTGCTGCTGCATCATCGCCTGCTGCTGCTGTATCACCTGCTGCTGCTGCAGCACCCACAACAGCAGCAACAGCAGCAGCAGCAAATCATTTTGTGAAGCAGCCTATTTGCTTTCAATCCTTTGGCAGTGAGTTGGCCACACGCCGTCTCTTCAGCAGCAGCAGCAGCAGGTACAGCAGCAGCAGCAGCAGCAGCAGCAGCAGCAGAAGCAGCAGGAGACCGACGGTGCTGCACAATATTTCTCCCCTCCGTATTGCCACTAGAGGGATGGAGGAAGCAAATATAAGAGAGCATTTTATATACCATAGGGAGCAGCAGCAGCAGCAGCAGCCGCAGCAGCAGCAGCGGCGACAACGGAGGGTCAAGGGTATATATACTGCTGCTGCTGCTGCTGCTGTTGCAGCAGCAGCAGCAGCAGTAGTGCTGATAACTGCCAACTGGCAAGACGATTTGCCCACGCAGGTGCAGAAGCTGGAGAAGAAGCTGCAGCAGCAGAAATATATTTGAGGGTTTAGGGTTTAGGGTTTAGGTTTCCGGCCTCTGGCAGCAGCAACAGCAGCAGATGCTACTGCAGCCGGATTTAGCCGCAGCTGCTGCGCAGCAGCAGCAGTCCTTTTTTATTGTTGCTGCACAGTTGGGGAAGGACATGCTGTCTGTCTGTGTCTGCTGCAGCAGGAACTGCTGGCAGCAGCAGCAGCAGCAGCAGTTGCTGCTACGGCTGCTGCTGCCTCTGCTGCTCGTACAGGAGACAGTAATTCAGCAATGAAACTGTCTCCTGGGAGCACCAGTAGCTACAGCAGCAGCAGCAACAGCAGCAGCAGCAGCAACAGCAGCAGCAGCAGCAGACACGTTGTGGGGTGTGGGGCTACCCAAGACAGTGCATGCAGCAAGCATGCAGCAAAACATTTTTTATTGAGTTTGTTTAAATAGTAAATAAAATAATTAATTAATTATGCATGCATGCAGCTTTCTGATTCTCTGCTGCTGCTGCTGCTGCAGCTGCTGCTGCAGAAGCGGCAGCAGTTATATTAGACAGGTAGCCTGCAGCAGCCGTCTCCACGAAGGGAGACAGGCTACCCTATCTGCCGTAACGGCCAAACCCTAAACCCTAAACCCTAAACCCTAAGGCTAAGAAAGAAACAAACAATAAAATAGGCCATCTATCTATACACGAAGAAGCAGCACAGAAGGTACTGCAGCAGCAGCTGCAGCAGCAGCTGCAGCAGCAGCTGCAACAGCAGCAGCTACTGCAGCAACACCAAAAGTAGGAACTGTTGCTGTTGCTGTTGCTGCTGTACAGCCTCTCGACTGCAGCAGCAACTGTATTACGTATCGGTGTTGCTGCTGACTGTTGCTGCTGACTGTTGCTGCAGCTGCAGCAGCTGCAGCAGAACAGCAAGTAGCTTAGCTAGCAGCAAAGGGAATATCTTTTCTTTTATTTATATTTTATTTATTTATATTTTATTTTATTTTCTTGTCTTGTTACCACAAGAGAAAATCCTGCTTCTTCTGCATGCGTCAGGTAATACTCAGCTGCAGAAATTGCAGCTGCAACGAGCCTGGCGGTTGCTGTTGCTGCTGCTGCTGTTGCTGCTGCTGGTGCTGGTGTTGCTGTCTTCCTCTATGGTGCCAACTCAGTCGGGGATAATAAATACATGAAGTAGGGGTGTTAGAAGTGAGTAAGGAAAGAGAAAAAGGAAGTAAGGAAAGGCAACGAGGGAGCAGAAAGCTGCTGCTGCTGCTGCTGCTGCTGCTGCTCAGGTGCCGATGCAGCATCGAGGTGACCCCGCCTCCCTTCTCCCCACTTTACCGATCTTACGAGAGAAGGAGAGCTGTAAAGAATAATAAATACACATAAATAAAATAAATAAAATAAAAATAAACAAAAATAAATTAAATTTATATAAATAAATAATAAAACAATTCGTATATTGTGTGTAAACATCAGGAAAAAACTGTACAACAAACAGAAGATGGGCGGCAATCTGCATGCGCCACCTCAGAAATAAAGAGCAAAAAAAGCCCCAAAAGAAACCTTTTATGCGCATGCATAAATTAAATTAATGTTTTACTTTAATTAATATTTTATAAGAACAAATGATGATAAAATAAAAAGAAAGATGGCAAGAAAATAACTCTGCAGCCTAGTTCTCTGCGGTGGTCCCCACAATGGTGTGTCGTGGACCACCGTGGTTGCTGCTTGCTGCTTCTGCTGCTGCTGCTACTGCTGCTTCTGCTACTACTGAGAAATTGTTGTTCTTTACCTTGTATATGTTCCATCTGCGTGCATTAAGACAAACGCCAAGAAGGATTCTTTAGTACAAATTCTTGTGCGGTGTACAGGCAGCGCCATGGGGGAGGCTGGGGGCACAGCTACAATAACACGGCCTGCTCCTTCTGCACCAGAAACAGCAGCAGCAGCAAGCTGGCATGTTTCGTTTAATGTTCTGTCTTTTACAGTCAGCCTGGTGAGTGCGTGAGGTCGGAGAGTTGCTGCGCCATTGGCGCATCCGTCGTGTAGCAAACATTGCTGCCTTTTGTTGTTGCTGTTGCTGCTGTTGCTGCTGCACCTTCAGTTGTCTCAAACCTCCTGCTGCAAGAATTTTTAAACAGGTTTCCTGTTTGTTGCTGCCTGCATCTATATCTCCTCTCCTTTTTCTGTTCCCCACCGCAGCAGTCTTGCCCAGTCAAGCCTATGACCTTATTAGCACACCACTGCAGTACTGAGTTGCATGCGCATGCAAACATTGTACCATGCTTTCGTCACTTTTATGCAGATGACCACCATCTATTAGAAGGGAATTTCT